TTGTTAGATTGCCCCGCGTGCCTTGGACAATGTTTTCTCAAGACTTCGAAACATTCTTGCGGAAGCACAATTGGATTCACGTATTCGTTATATGATTGAAACTGCAATGGCAGTTCGGAGAGATAAATTTACGGTCAGTTTTTAGTTCTATTGCCTGGCAAAGTTTATTCTTTAAGGACTACCCAGCTTTAATTGATGAATTCGATCTTATTTCGGAAGAGGACTATACATACCCTTTCCCTTGAAGATGCTACCGGTCCTGAAAATATGCTTAGTGGGTGAACTAACAAATTTAATTTTCGATCAACTTGGCTTTCAAGCAAACTTTACAGACATTTTCGAATTGGATCCCGATTTTGAGAAAATGAAGCTGCCTTCAACGAGCTCCGTGAACAAATCATTGGTGATGCCGGTGAAAGCGAAGAGGAATCAAAGGAAGAGGACGAGGATGAAGAAGGTGACGATGGGGCAGCTCCAAATGGTAGACATTCAATTTTATCGATTCAAATTTTATAAAACTTCAGACGAATCTAATGCAAAATTTAAATACTTATTTCAGCTCAGCCTCAACAAATGGAAATCATTGACAACACTGAGCAAAATCTCGTTGCTTTCCGTCGCGAAGTTTACTTGACAATTCAATCATCGCTCGACTATCAAGAGCCCGCTCACAAACTTCTCAAAATGGGTGTCAAGCCAGAATTGGAGGTTGGGCTTATTGATAGAATATAAAACATTTTTGGCTCTTTCCAATTACTAGGTAATTTAAGCGTGGAACCAGCTTTTGTTAAATTTTAAGGTACCTAGTAATAGAAAAGGGCCACATTTTTTCCTTTGGACCCGGAACTCATTCACATGCTCGTTGATTGTAGTGCACAGCAACGTACTTATGAAAGGTTTTATGGACTTCTCTGCGAGCCTTTTTGTCGGCTGAAACTAAATTTCAAGTTATTCTCGAAAGTATATGATTTTTTTTATTATTTTAGGCTACTTTTGAGATGATGGCTTGTGAGACTTATCAAACTATCCATCGCTTTGATATTGCGAAACTGAGGAATATGGCTCGTTTAATCCGTCATTTTTTGCTTTTCACAGATGCCATTACTTGGGAGGTAAGTCTTTATGCGAATATTCACTTTTTCGTATCCATATTTAAGGTGTTCAAATTTAGGGTTTGGACGAAATCCTTTTGAACGGGAATGGGGCAACTTCTTCGGGCAGGATTTACATCAAAACCATTTTTCCTTGAATTGGCTCAAATGATGGGAGTTCCAAAGATGTATGAAAGAATCTGTGATCCGTAAGTTTAGATATTTTCTAGAATTCAATAATCTTTAGTACATTGCAACATGCGTTTGAGGGACTTTTTCCTCGGGACAACCCGGCCAATACTCGCTTCGCCATCAATTTCTTCACATTAATCCGTCTTGGTGCACTGACGTAAGAAAGATTTGAGAAAGGTAATAAGTGTATAAATTTTAGGGTGGATCTTCGCGAGTTTTTGTAAAAAGGCGGAGAGGAGGAGAAATCTGACTCCGAATCAAGCGCTGAATCCTCTTCATCATCATCCGACGATGACAGCGACAGTGACTCTGATACTACTTCTTCAAGCTCGTCAGATTCGGATTCAAGTGAGGATTAGTAATTTTTTATACTTATACTTTTATACTAATTTTACACTTTTTTATACAGTCCCGAAGCAAAGCAAAGCGTGAAAACACTCATCATCAGTTTCTTTGAGTAAGTGTCCAGCCTAGATTTATCAGAACGCAGTATAAAAAAGGCACAGTTTTGTTAAGAATTCTTCAAGAATGCTTCATGATTCCTCAAGATTGAAAGACCAATGATTTTTTTAATTTCCTGGGAAATGGAAAAGTTCTTGGAGCAGAGGGAAGCCACCGATCTCAACACAATTGTTTGTTTCTCCGAAAATTGGACAGAATCTGTATCGAAAGTTCTGGGGGAATCGATCGAAATCATTTGATAATCCCTTTCGAGGAGCACAACAAATACGGACGATTGGAGAATCAATTCCTGTTCTCAACGAACACCATTACGGCTCATCGTTTCAAAAAAAATCGTCACATTGAGCCGTTTCAAACTCAAATTCCCTGTCATTTGTAAATCGGGCATTTGGTTGGAGTAATTAATTCCAAAATTCCTGTTATTGGTGAATTGACACACTTAAGTATGCTGACAACAAGTGGTATGCTGTTTTTCTTTGAATATGGATTCGATGCATATTTAGGCTCACGAGTTGCTTTCTCTTGAGATCATGCTTTTGAGGCTTAAAACACCAACGGAAGATTCAGTGGAAGTGTGTATTGCTTTTCTGAAAGAATGTGATAGATAGGTAAATTTGGAGAGATAAACTTGCGGTCAGTTTTCAGTTCTATTGCCTGGCAAGGTTTATTCCTTTAGAACTACCCAGCTGAATTGATGAACTCGAGCTTATTTCGGAAGAGGGCCAAATTACACATACCCTTTCCCTTGAAGATGCTACCGATCCTGAAAATATGCTTAGTGGGTGAAATAAAGAATTTAATTTTCGATCAACTTGGTTTGCAAACAAACTTTACAGAAATTTTCAAATTGGATCCCGATTTTGAGAAAAATGAAGCTGCCTTCAACGAGATCGTGAACAAATCATTAGTGACGCCGGTGAAAGTGAAGAGGGCGAGGATGAAGAAGGTGACGATGAGCCAGCTGCAAACGGTAGAAATTCAATTTTATCGATTTAAATTTTATGGAACTTCAGACGAATCTAATGCAATATTTAAATACTTATTTCAGCTCAACCTCAACAAATGGAAATCATTGACAACACTGAGCAAAATCTCGTTGCTTTCGGTCGCGAAGTTTACTTGACAATTCATTCATTGCTCGACTATCAAGAGGCCGCTCACAAGCTTCTCAAAATTGGTGTCAAGCGAGAATTGGAGGTTGGGCTTATTGGTAGAATATAAAACATTTTTGGCTCTTTCCAATTACTAGGCACTTTAACCGTGGAACCCGCTTTTCGTAAATTTTAAGGTACCTAGTAATAGCAAAGAGCCACATTTTTTCATTTTAGCCGGAACATTCACATGCTCGTTGATTGTTGTGCACATCAACGTACTTCTGGAAGGTTCTATGGACTTCTCTACGAGCGTTGGTGAACGATATCACTCCTAAAATATTAAAGAGAGCGTCAGAAATAATTGTGAATGTTAATTTAAGGAGGGGAAGTTGTTGATTGCGATGAGGAAGCGGGAGAGGCTCCGAGAAGAGATAGGGTTTCAAGAGATGGGGATATACTCAGAAGAAGTATGTTTCAAGTGATTCTGTAATTGGGCTGCGGAAGTAGGAAGGATAGAAGGGAGGGTCGTTTCGAAGTTTGCTGTGGGAGTTAAAAAGTTCACTCTGAAAATATTCTCCTTTTCATAAAGATACTGAGATTTAGTACCTTTTGATATTGAGTGTGTGTACCATGTTCTCATCTCAGTTTTTAGCTATAGCGAGAGGAGAGGGGAGTAAGGGATGAATCATCATCGGGACCGGGGATCAGGGGAAAATATCGGATTTGCAATTGACTCCTCTCTAATGAAGAAAAATTGGGTGTTATCCAATGGGTTAAGAGAGAAGGGCCAAGGGCCAAAAGGCGGGTTTGATTGAAAGTTCTTGAATAAATCTAGCAAGATTATCAAGACACCAAATCACCCGAGATTCAAAGTGATAGTTGTCTGAAGCTAAGACAATATATGCAACAAAATTGGCGAGTAGGATTCTCAAGAATTCGTCGTGTCTCACGGTTCACATACATAAAACCTTTGACAGAAGGCTTAGTTAGAAAGTTTTTGAACTGGATAGTGGAGATGCTCTGTTAAAATATGTAATCAACAAATTTTGAAGAGCACAAAGAAATGAAGTTGGCAAATCGTCTCTTATGGGAGAACAACAACTTCATAGCCAGGATGGTAAATGGCGGGTCTATCCTCCCAAGTTGGAGGTCGATTTGGTTGACGGAAGGGAGAGAAATCGAGAATTGGAAGGGAAAATCGCCGAGACAAAAAGGAAGGACGACGATCTCGAAGCACAGTTGTATTAACTTCGTAATTTCCTTTTTTGTTAGCATAAAATATAGATAAAAATCGAACTCTTTTTAGAAGAACTCAAAATACGGAAGTGAGAGACGGAAGAGCAAGTGCGAGTGCAAGACGGGCGAGAGCAAGCGAGTGCAGGACAGAGAAATCAATCAAGGTCGTTTCTGTAACAACTTTGGCACAATCACTCGGTCGGGGGAAAAGCCTCCTATATGCACGGCGATACTATCATTTCGTTTGGTTTCATTTATTCAAGGTGTTATGTACAGCACTGATTAAAAATGAACTGATTGATAAAATAATAAATATTTAAGAACTTTTAGATTGTCACAACGTTGGCTATTTCGTTACGCAAGGAGTTTCCAAGCCTCCAATTAGTTGTATTTTCAAGTTAGTCTTGAAAGATCAAAGTCTTGGGAACACACATGAAAATTCCCACATTTTTGTTTGAAACTCCGCGTTATCACCTTTATCATTCATCATTCACCAACCTTTTTTCGTTCGAAGTTCTATTCGACCACAATTTCTCGAGCGAAAAATTGTTTACGCAAAAACTTTAAACACTTATAACTTTGGAAAGAGCGTAGCAAAAAAGAAAATCATCATGATCAGTGTGAAATTCTGCGTCGAATGGTTCAAACTCCGCCTTTTATCACTCACCAACTTCACACAAACTGACGGTTTTATTTTTCCTGAAATGCCACTTTTTTCTCTGTTTGAAGTGCTATTGGAAGCCATTGTTGGAACGGCTTAATGAGTCAATCGTCGGTTGGAAGGCGATCGCTTTTCTAAACAATTTCAGAGCTCTCAAAAGCTCTTTTCCGTGAAAAAACAATTGTTTATCGGATCGTCCCTCCAATCGTTCTTCCCATTTCCCCGAATTCCAAACGAATCAACCAATTCAGCGGAACGGGTGTGATGGCCGTCGGTCTATTCATCACGATTCTCCTCCTTTTCCATCAAATTTCTTCGTCGACTCAACAAAGCGTTCAAGTGGATCAATTCACGTATTCTCTTCCCTTCAAATAGCCATCTTTTCAACCATTCAGATCTCCGAATGATCGAGATGAGATTCTGTCTCGTGATCGTCGTACTTTGAAGTTGGTCAGAAAGAGATTTTTCGATAATCTTAGATTTCAGCAGTAAAAAGGATTGTCGGGATACCGTCCTCTTGGGATCTTGTCGAAGAGAATTGTTGGTTTTTTGGGAGAAAAGCGAAATTGATAGAATAAACAAGAAATAGACTTGAGTGTCTCAATGACAAGACTTTTCAGGAATCAAACCCAACAAGAACTCGTCGAGGCTCGAGGAAAAATCTGCGGACTCGAGACGGAAATGTGGGTGAAATAAACAAATCTTGAAGAATTCAAGCTCATCTTTTTCAGTGAATGTGAACAAAAAGAAAGGAATGATGAATTCACGAAGATCAACTCGAAAATCTCGCAAAGTGATGATCGATCGACGAAGATTGGTGCTGATTTGAAAGCCGAGATGTGAGTCTTGAGATCCCTTAAAGAAATATCTGAGAATGAAACACTTCTAGAGATTACAAAGTCGCCGAAATGTCAAGGACCATCTCCGCGAGAATGGCTCAAATTGAGACGGATTTAATGGGGAAAATCACGAAGTTGGAGGCCGATTTGGTTGACGGAAGGCTGAGAAATCGAGAATTGGAAAGGAAAATGGCCGAGACGAAAAGGAAGAACGACGATCTCGAAGCACAATTGTACTGATTTTGTAACTTTCTTTTTTGACAAGCTCAATATATTTGTTTGGAGTAAGGTTTTTCGAAGAAATTCAGAAATCGGACGAGGACTTTCTTGGATCTGGATGGATGGTCGTATTTGGCAAAAACCGCTTCTTGGTACAAGGTTTGGTGGATGTTGTGAACCAGGATTATCTTCATCTCAAGGGGATCGAACAAAAAATGAGATTTGATGCAGCCGAGGCATATTGTGCTAGTCGAAAGAGCCATTTAGTCAGAATTCACAGTCAGGAAGAGCACGCTTTTGTTTGGGAACTCGGTAAGAAATCGAAATGATTCATTTCTGAAAATTTATGATTTTCACAGAAATTTATGCTTTATAAACCAAAAACAATATTTATTTCAGCGAAAACTGTTGTTTCGAATGCGTGGTTCTGGATCGGACTGAAGGTTGAATTTTCTTATTGAAAGACATAAATAAATAAATAGAAAGTAATGATTCTTTCAGCCCTTGTCGGAAGACTCTCTGTGAAAAAAATGATTCGTTTCACTGATAGTTCTTTGACAGAAATCTGAAATGATTGAGACTGATAGAAATCTAATTTGAATTGAAAAATTAGAATAGTTTTAAAATGGAAAAAAAATATGGTTGAAATAGCAATAGTGAAACTTAAAAATTTCTTAATTCAGAGAAATCCGAACAGAGGAAATGCTTTTGAATGGACGGATGGAAGCTGGATGGGTTTCACGAATTGGGATGAAGGACACCCGGATTCGTACACCCACGCTTTGGTGAGATTTTGAACGTGAAATCATCAATATTTATTGTAATTGCCAATGCATAGTTAATCCCAAAATATTTCGATCGATCTGAGGAAACTTCTTTTTGTGAAATAACGCAGAGTGTTTTATCAAAAGATTTCCATCAGAAATGAACACATTTCAGCTTCATAGCTCCAAGGGGAAATGGCAGGCCGGGTCTCCAACCTTTCATTGGCCTTTTATCTGCAAAAGGAGCTCTCAATTCTGATGAGTTCTTTATGTTCTTTTCTATTTCTATGGACAAAAACGAATAAATCTAATTTTATTCAGCCTTCGGAAAACACAACTGCACATTATCTTTTCCTGTATTTCTGAATTGTTTGTTCAAAATCTCAAATAAAAGTTTTCCCAAAAACCCAGAATTCCGCCTGAAGCTGCAAGTATTTTACTCTCTCGTCGCTCCTGAATAGACTATTAGATAAACGTGTTGAACATCAATGGACATCAGCATGAGGAAACTGACAATTCTTCGTGAAGGTCGCTCTTCTCGTCCCTCAACTCGTGATTTGTCTTTGATGTTTGTTCCCAAAAAGTTCTCAAAAATTCGACGGCTTTTTTTCGATGACTCACTGTTGGTTCTGTAGGCGGAGATTTTCTCTTTGGTCTCTTTCTGGCTAATCTTAACGATTAAGCAAGCAGATAATGTATGTATGTATTGTAGATATAATGAGCTGTGAATGTCTTCATAGTCAAAAGCGAATGAAATCCCATTTTGATGAAATGAAATCCCATCACGAAATTGATTCGATGAAATCATTTAGCTATGTACATATCACTACATTATACTCTTTTTTTGCAAAATAGCCTACTATTTAAGGTGCCCGTTAGTAATGTCGAATTGAAAGCGATTAAAATGGAAAAAAGCGATTTCTTTCGAAATTCCCCATTCATTTGCCTCATGATGTTCTCGGCGACGTTTGCGAAGAATTACGTGTAGCGAGCGTTACTAAAAAGGTTCCGTGGTTGGATCAAAGTTATAATGGAGATCACAAAAGATTCATCTCAAGGTTATCGATCAAAATATGACATTTTATGAGGCCGTGGCGGATTGTGCGATTCGAAAGGGCCATTTAGTCTCCATTCACAGTCAGGAAGAGAACGATTTTGTTTGGGAGCTCGGTAAGAAATCGAAATGATTCAATTCTGGAAATTGATGATTTTCGTTGAAATTTATGCTTCATAAACCAAAAACAATCAGTAGTTATTTCAGCGAAAACTGTTTCTTGGTATGGTTGGTTCTGGATCGGAATGAAGGTTGAATTTTTCTTATTGAAAGACATAAATAAATATCTAGAAAGTAATGGTTCTTTCAGCCATTGTCGGAAGGCTCTCTGTGAAAAAATGATTCGTTTCACTGATAGTTCTTTGACAGAAATCTGAAATGATAGAATTTATCGAAATCTAATTTGAATTGAAAAATTAGAATAGTTTTAAAATGGAAAAAAATATGGTTGAAATAGCAATAGTGAAATATAAAAATTTTTTTGTTTAGAGAAATCCGAACAAAGGAAATGCTTTTGAATGGACGGATGGAAGTTCGGTGGATTTCACGAACTGGTTACCGGGACAGCCGGGTTCGGGCACCCACGTTATTGTGAGATTTTCGACGTGAAATCATCAATATTTATTCCAATTTCCTATTCATAGTTAATCGCAAAATATTTTGATGAATCTTAAGAGTTTTTTTCGTGTAAAGTAACGCAAAGTGTTTTATCAAAGTATTTCCATCAGAAATGAACACATTTCAGCTTTGGGGCCACGATGGGCAATGGCGGGTCTATCCTCCTAACTATCGGTTTCTTTTTATCTGCAAAAGTCGCTCTCAATTCTGACAAATTCCTTATGTTCCTTTCTGTGGACAAAAACCAATAAATCCTATTTTATTCAATCTTCTGAAAACAAACAACTGCACATTATCTTTTTCTTTCTGTCTGAATTGTTTGTTCGAGATTTCATATAAAAAGTCCTCCCAAAAACCCGGAATTCCGCCTGAAGCTGCAAGTATTTTGCTCTCTCGTCGCTCCTGAATAGACTATTAGATAAACGTGTAGAACATCAATGGACATCAGCATGAGGAAACTGACAATTCTTCGTGAAGGTCGCTCTTCTCGTCCCTCAACTCGTCGATTTGTCTTTGAGTGGCTCCCAAGCTGAAATGTGTTCATTTCAAATGTTAAGTAAAAACCACCGTTTATTCCTCACTTTTTTGAAGTCTCCGGAAAAAATCTAAGGGTAGAAAGCGTAAGGTATTCAGTCATCAGCCTAAAAATCTACTGACCGGTTTTGTCTAGTTAATTCGTTAATTTTTAAATGGAAATCTTCAACCAATCACTCATCAATCATTCGAAGGATTGTGATGTTGAAAGGCCGCCCTTTTCAATTTCTTTTTCATTGATTTTTCAAATCAATTAAAGTTTGCCATATTTTATCCGTAAACTCACCGTGTTCTCGAAAATCTCAACGATCACTTTCAAACGTCAAATTTCCAAAAAATTTTTCATCAGTTGACTAACATGCGTTCCAGATCGGCAGAAAATTAAAAAATTTCTATGAATTTATCGGGAGGTTTTGAAAAACCAGGCTCGAATTCCACACACTAACCCCAGTGGAGTAAAGAAAAAACGAAAAGGAAGGAAGTTGAGTCAGACATGACAGCAAATTTTCAAATATCATGTATTGAATAAAATGCAAACAACAAACTTTCTGAAAGTCACACCTTTTGTGCGTTCCTCTGGTGTGTCTCGTCGGCCAATCTGACCACGGCCCCCACACATAGGGCGACAGAGACCTCGCTGCTCGGTTTAATTACCCAATTTTGCAAAAAAATGACGAAAATGAAAAAAAGGAAGAGTAAGAAGGAAAAGATAAAAAAGAAAAAGCAAAGAGAAGGAAAAAGGAAAAAAGATGTCAAAAAAGTAAGAGAGCCCATTGCATTGGGTTGTAACATTGAAAACGCTTCAAAATAAACAGCCTTGGATGGAAAGTTCGGTCACATCCCCCATATAGTCCGGACTTTGCCCCTTCTGATTACTATTTATTCCGGACTATGAGCAACGAGCTTCACAGAGAACACTTCGATTCCGACGATGCGGTCAAAAAGTGGCTACAAAAGTTTTTCGATCAACAACCAAAAGCCTACTACTAAAAAGGAATCCAAAAGCTGCCCGTAAAATGGGCGGAAGTTCTCAATAACAATGGAGAATATTTGAAATAATTTCATTGTTTTATTTTGAATAAATTCTTATTTGAAGGTCAGTTCTGTTGTTGGTTTTTTCTGGATGTCTATGAGATCGGAGCAAAAGCTTTTTATTTTTATTATTTTTATTTTTACATTTTATATTATTAGGTTGTCCAATAAGTAATGCGTGTTACTTATTTCGAAACTATTGCGAAATCGCTTCGAGCAAATATATGCTCTTTTTAATCATCAGCATCTTGTGTTTATTTTTGTAGATTATTTTATTCATTTGCCTTTGTTTTATAATAGATATGTTGTTTTGCAGATGAAAGACAAAAAGTTTGTTGTCCGCGCATCAATGCTGTATGATTTCAAACGAGGTAAAACTGCAGCGGATTGCCATCGAACTACCTGTGCCGCATTTGGAGAGGATTCAATTTCAATCAGCCAGTGCCAGCGCTGGTTTAAACGATTTGCGGACGGAAACGAGTCGTTAGAGGACGAGGAACGCGCTGGAAGGCCAGTCGTTTTTGATAACGAAGCTTTGCTTAACACCATGACGGACTTCACTCTTTGCTCGGACGATGGAGAAATGTTGTTGATTGTTGTGGAGAATATATCGATTAATAAAGTTCTCTTTTGTTAATTTTGTGATATTTTGAAAATCGTGTCAAAACACGCATTACTTATTGGACAACCTAATATTTTATCTCAACTTACTGATGCTTACTGAATTTTCGATGAATGTTTTAAAGTAACCGGCTTTAGTCAGCTTAATGCATTGAATTAAAGGAAACATCTTGTATGATGAATCTAGGTGCTGACGCTGCTTCGTATCGTTTGACGGATAATAGTGTTGAGTTTCAAAGTTGACACTGCGGAAATAGAAAATGCCTTCGCAATAATTGAGGTTGAGCGATCGATGATCATTTTAAGTTTTCAAAGTATTCTGCTATGACTTATTGAATGGCCAACGATTGGGTTGGGGAGAATGAGTCGGCGCCGAAAATCAAAGAAATTTCTAAAACTTATAGCAGACTTTGTCAAATGATATGCGTTTGATATCCGTAGAAGGGTAACTAATTCTCTACAAAATAATATTTAAAAGAGAACTCAAACAGCGCCTCAACTCAACAAAGGATCATTTTTTCACAAAATCGATAAACTGTCATCTAGAGTAAACGGTTGGAGGGATCTTCCTGAAAATTTGGTAACTTATGTAATTGAGTGTGCTCTATCTTTTTTATATAAACACCAAAGAAGGTTTATGTGGAAGAAACTGTTCAAGCAATGAGTCGGACTTTTTGTCATTTTGACTAGCTGTGTTTGGGAGTCCATAAACTCCAAAAAAAGAAAAGCTTTGTGGAATCTCTCAAAAGCCATTTTGTAAAGAAATAGTGGACCATTTTGATGAAACAAAACGTGTATTTAAAGAAGGTTTTATGGGTGCAAAAAAGTTTCTTTAAATTTCGGCGCCGACTCATTCTCCCCAACCCAATAATTCCAGGTGAGTTGAGGGCTCCGCAATCATTTTTCGATTTGATGTTTGTTCACTCCATCGGATCTCACTTCAGCCACGGGGATCTAAAGTTAAAAAGTTAAAGTGAGTTTAGTCAAATCTGAAATCGAGCTCGTGTAGGCGATTGTATCGGTGCCGTCTAGTGTCGATTGTACCGTGTACAAATCCGGCGTGGCGTGGCTGAGCTCGCGCTGTACCCGAAATTCGGGCGTGTCGGCAGCACCATCTCTGGGCAACAAAAAAAAACATATTTACAGGTTGATTAGTTTTCGTTTTAAATAACAAAGACAGGTATTATTATTATTATTATTATGAAAGGTATTACGGTAGGCAGCCACTGGGGAAAAGCTTGTAAAATGAATGACCGCCCTAAAAATTTAGCGAGTTTCTCATTAAATACAAAATGATTGGCTGAATATCTCTTTTGCAAAAGATTTGCCAACGCGTATAAAAAGAAAAAAAACATTTGCCAATGGGTACAAAATGTTTACCTGAATATCTTTTTGCT